CCAGGCATATCTTGCAGGCAGCTACTGCGATTCTTGCAACCAGCATTATCAACAGGGGTGTAAGTAACCAGTGCTTTCATATGTCTCCAGAAATCAAGACATGATAGGTCGGGTGACCGAGGAGGCCATATAATTTTTTCAATGTATTATTATAGCGATTTTTCACTTACGGTCTCTTTTCTTTATGGTGCTTCTGTGTACGTCACTGCTTCAGGAAAGCATTTCCGACCCCACATTGCTATATGATTTCGAGTCGTCAAGATGTCCCCTCTCCCTCTTAGAAGTTCTGAAACGCTTAGCTGAGACACCTGTATACATATACAATGTATGCACGAACGTTGTTTTTACGTACAAGAACAATTAAAGCTGAAAACTTAATTTAAATATCGTTAGATTTTTTTTATTTAGCTTGATTGAGTCGCTAACTGTGTTCAAATGCCAGCGATGGTTGGTCGACACGAGTTTTGCACCCGGCTCGCAGAGCTGACGTAAAATATTCTCATTGCAGATGGTTAAATCGACGGGACAAGTATTTTAACTCATGATCCCAGAAAAAGGAACAATATTTTAAATTACCATTGTGGTCTGCCACCGCTGGGATTTGAACCTGATAAATTTCATGAGGAGGTGAACTATCGTGGCATGTTAAAAAACTTTAGAGTTCAAGATTTGTTATGTCTAACAGCTAATGTTTCATTCACAAAAATACTATTTTTCAAAGTCCATAAAAGATGGCAGCTACATAGATGCAAACTGCTACGGATTCTATAAAATATTTTAAGAAATAGTCAAGTAAAAATCGCAGATTTTCGGTAAATTTTCAAAAGGTTTAACACATCACAACTGTAATAGAGCGGCGTTTCATATGATGATGATTTGTTTATAAGCAGTGGTGGGTAAAAATGCTATAAATTGAGTTTACTAAACTAAGAATTATGTTTTCATATTCAAAGACTACCACTACTGGGGAAGAGGCAGACGTGTGTTTCTTGCTGAGAGAAAAGTGATAGCTAAAACTTGGTGAATGTTTAAATAAAATAGATTTACTATTTTAATGGTTTGCAATTAATTTAGATTAAGAATTTCCTGGACTGGAAATTGTTTAAAAGTATGGATCTCCGTATTATTTGATTTAACTATTCGTGTGTGATGTATATCAATCAACTAGAATTCATGAGTATCATATATAAATGTCTTTCTTATTTTCATTGTACCTACCATCATAGAAAATGGTTAGCAATTACTTCAATAAAAAAATTAGAGGATAATTACTTAAATTGGTTCATCATCATCAATATTTATCTGGGCGCCTGAGGCCGTTAGCGGCCTTTTTTCCATTCGTCTTGAATTGTGATCTTTAGGGTGGTTCTGTCTGGTAATTGGAATGCAATTGAAGTAAATGGAATTTAAATATTTTGGATTTTAGATAAAATTACGTCACTACAAAAGTAAGCTGCCATCGGCCTGAGGTTTATGCCTTCTCTTAAGTTTTCAAAAGTAAAAATTTCGTTGAATCCTGCGGTGTCACAATTTATGATTTTTTCAAAAAATCTGAAATTTAGCTTTGCAATATGATGATCTAAAGAATCTATGTTGAGGTCGCGATGTATGTTTTTATTTCTGATAAACCATCTTGCTTTTGTTATTTTCCTGAGGATTTTTTTCTGGCATGTTTTGAGTTTTTTAAGGAGTGATGTGGAGATGTTGCAGCAAGCTGGAGATGCATAAGTCAGGATGGAGCGGATCATTGAGATGTAGTGTATACGTTTAAGTCTAAGTTCCATTTTGAGGTTCTGAAGAAGGATTTGTAATATGTGGCAGGCTGCTTGAGCTTTGTTGATAACTGTTTTGATGTGATCTTTCCAATTAAATTTACTGTTAATGACCAGACCAAGGTATTTTGCACTTTTGACTTTGGGGATAATTTCATTAACCCCTTGGGGACGGGTGATTCAGAAAAGCATTCGTACAAAATCAGAATCAAGTTGCAATTAAATAAAAAACGGTAACTTAAATGTAGCCGTTACTAATTTGACAGACTTACTTTGCTTTTATTTTAATTATTGTTAGTTTAATCATATATATAATCAATGTTAATTCAAAGTATAACTAAATAGTTTTATTTTGAACAAAGTAATGGTGAATTAAATAAATCAAAAAATTATAACTCCGCCCACAAATAAACTGCTAAAGAAATACTTTGATTACCAGTTTTATCTTCTTACCCTGATTAATACGGTTTTTTGCTGTCACGTATTTGTGACAGTCGGCGCGAAAGGGTTAAAGAGAACAATTTGATTTTTGGGGAGGATGGTTTTTCTTTTATGCTGAATGATTAGTACATAGTTTTGATTTTTGTCCGTTTACTTTGAATTTCCAGTCTAGACACCATGTTTCGATTTCCTTCAGTTTTCCTTGGAGTCTTTGTAGGGCAATGTTGGTTTTTTTTTACTATGATTCCAGTGTCATCTGCGAAAAGTGCTGTGATGCTGTTAAAGTCTTGTTTGTCGACAGGAAAGTCGTGGGTAAATAATATAAATAATATGGGCCCAAGAATGCTTCCTTGGGGCACTCCTGCTGTTACTTTTCTGTTTGTTGACTTCATGTGCTTAAAGCTAACTTGAAAAGTTCTATTATGTAAGTAGGCTTGTATAATTTTTATGATACCAGATGGAAATTTCAGTTTTATAAGCTTGAAGATGATGCCCTGGTGCCAAACCCGATCGAATGCTTCTGCTATAACTAGCATCAGAAATGCTGAACTCTGTTTGTTGTGGAGGCCGCGGCCAATAGAGTCGACTATTCTAGGGAGCTGTTTGGTTGTGTCAAGATGCTTCCGAAAGCCATACTGTTCGTCTGGTAATTTGGTAAGGTGAGGCATAATCCGCGTGTAGATAATTTTCTCCATAAGTTTTCCTAAATTGCACAAGAGACTGATGGGTCTGTGCTTAAATTGGTTGCTGGATATTGGGGTTATCTCGGCGTTTGGCGCGAAGCGCCACTAACCGATTCATCGATTCTGTTTTGTCGTATTCTAGGAGGTCCAAAATATCTTTGAAGTTGTAGTATGTTGTAACGACAAATCAAGTCCTTAAAGAAGTAAATCTTTAGTTTTGAAGTGAAAATCATCTTTGGAATGGGGAGATTCCTTTGAGCAGAGTTGTATGATACTTAGATAGGTTGGATTTTAAAATTAAATATACTATATATATTTTTTAATTTAAGGTGGTAGATTTTTAATCATTTAAATATACATATATGCATTGCGTGCGTATACCATAGGAGGGTACGTTTAAATTGATAGTAATAAAGGAATGACGCATGAGTTGATATATCTATAACTGCTACTTCTGAAAAAAAAATTACTTTTTGTATAGTTTTACGACTTTATTGCAGTGTTGAGAAACGGTGCAGGAAAACATTAAGTGATTTATTTAAATAGATATTTACAATATAAAATATGTTTAGATTCACTTAACTTACTGCAACATTAATCTTTAATTTTTAATAAACAACTACATATATTTAAATGCTGCTTCAAATAAAAGTAATAATAAGAAGTATTTTTCATTAAATAATTCTTACCGATATTCATAATTTAAATTGAAATATTTACGCTCCTTATGAGTTAAATAGTATTTATTTGTGTTTGATTTTTTCCAAAGTATTCATTTCTGTCTGCTTTTTTATCCAATTGTATTGTACAATAAACACACTATTTTATCATTCTCCAGAAAAAAAAAATCTAACTTCGACCTTAGATTAAATTTTCTTCTTTTCAATTAGACATAATGTAGAAAAATTAATATCGAAAAAAAAATAGTACTTAGATTTTCATACAACTGTAACCTATTCAGGCCTGCCAACTAATACGGTGTTAGTAAAATATTTTACAGAGGGGTAGACACTTAAGAAGTTTGTTTAACACGTTGAGCGCCGCGTCAGCCATCGGTGACTGACACTGGACTTTTCATTTAGGCCGCGTCAACGACTGGTGACTGACACTGAAATTACATTTATGCTGCGTCAACGAACGGTGGCTGACACTGAAATTACATTTAGGCTGCGTCAACGACCGGTGGCTGACACTGAAATTACATTTATGCTGCGTCAACGACCGGTGGCTGACACTGAAATTACATTTAGGCTGCGTCAACGACCGGTGGCTGACACTGAAATTACATTTAAGCCGCGTCGACGACCTGTGGCTGACACTGAAATTACATTTAGGCTGCGTCAACGACCGGTGGCTGACACTGAAATTACATTTAGGCGGCGTCTGCCACCGCTTGCTGACACTGACCTTTCACATAGGACGCGCGAAACAGCTGGCTGACAGCGTATAACATGATACAGAGCTGTAAAATTTACACTCTATTATGGAATTGCAGAATATTTGTTCAAAATTTGCTTAATTATTGTGATTCTTGGCTTAATAAATTCAATTTAGTAGATTTTTATCCATCACTATTTTCTAACAATTTGTAGGTATATATAATTCACCACTTTTTTCACGTTTGTCATGCTAAACCTTTTAAAACTAAAAAAATATGTCTAATATTTTCAACTTTAGTTTGCAGTTAATTACAGTTTGGCCATACGGGCAAGCCACGTAAAATTAGCGTGGCGTTTAACGTGTTAAGTTAAGCAGGGAACAATTGAAAAATTAAGTATATATATATATATATATATATATATATACTTAATTTTACTTAATATACCATGCTAAACCTTTTATAAACTAGAAAACTCTGTCTATATTTGCAAATTTAGTTTGTAGTTATTTACCGTGTGGCCAGAAGAGAAAGCCATGTAAAATTACCTATGCCTATGCGATTTATTAATCTAAATTTCGGCCCCGTTAGGAGCCCCAACTCATTCATCTCAGTGGTAGATATGGTACATAGCCGTGGCTCCAATCAGAAGAGTGTACAAAATTTAAAAAGCAAGCATGTAAAATTAACGTGGCATTCAACGTCTTAAGTAGAAGTATGCTAAACTTTTTAGTGGAAGCATTGAAGAGTGGTCGATTTGAGCTAAATATTGAAATATTCGCTCAATTAGACAACCTTTTATTTATTTAAATTCAAATACATAAAAAATTCATTTGATTAAGCATCAACAGCAATAAATATTGAAATTAAAAAGAATAAAACATTTTGAGAATTTTGAATTTGAAGTATTAAGATTTGGTTGAAATTCGCTTGAAAATGTTCAGAAAAAACTCTTTAAAAACCACACTTGAATCTTCCAATTCATCAATAATACTGTCGCTATCATCAGACTCCTTTTTCACATCATCTAAATGAAACAAATATCTAATTATACAAAAAAAAATTCATCAATTTTTAAACCAACGATAAAAAATCAGAAGACAATCTTCGACATGAAATGCATTAAATGCAACTAAGTACATATTTAATGGGAATTTTGAAAATTTGAGTTTTAAAGTTTTGCCTGCTTTTTTATTCAAAGACTCAAAAAAAAAAATTCTTCCAATATTTGATCCAGGAGTTCCTTTGTCTTCTGGATTGGGCTTAAAATTACATAACTACGAAGTTGAACATTGGTAGTTTAAAAGCAGTAAAAAATAACTAAGCTGCAAACTTTAAGATTTTATAAGTTTTGGTATTAACAAATAATTTAATTTTAAACAAGTTAGAATGGTTCTGTTATCAGCTTTTTCCGGGTTACAAACAGGCATGAATATTTTCAAAAACTAATTTTTGTTTTCGCAAATAACGCAATTTTGGCAATTGTCGGCATTTCACAGCATTCGTTTTTTGAATATCGTGTTGACGATGTCGATCGACATTGTATAACGTTTGTAAATGGTGAGAGATGTTGATCGACATTCCCCAGCGGTTTTTACTATCTCGAACAATATTGTTTTGCGATATTGAATATACGTTATTAAAGGGGTCCATTTTTATATAGTATAATATTTCACAACGATATTGTTCAATTTTCGAAGATAAATTTTTTACAATTTGGTTTTGAGATATGTGCTACTTGGGTCGTAAAACCATAATTAGGCCGACTGCTCACCGACGATTATAAAATAAAATAAGTTGAGGTGCGTCATCTTGCATCCAAACGATGTCATTCAGCGCATAGTAGCAGTAATTCTGGTATGACGTAAATTTACATCACGGCTACATAGCGTCAGCCTGTTACAGAGCATATGTTACAAATCCCGATGCTGGTGCTTCCTCAAAAAATTTCAGGATGCCAACTGACGCCTAACCATGTGCGTCCGACATTTTAAAGGTTTTCTTCGTTTGAATATCTGGTAATGGTTATTCTATAATTTTTTTTGACTTTATCATGGGCATTGACTCTATCTTTGCGCTTCCTCAATATTTTTGTTATGTTCAGGTGTTGTTTTGTGTGTTCAGTGCTTTTATCATTCATGTGTTTCCTTGTTCATGTGTTTTTGGACGTGGGGAGAGCTGCTTTTTGTGTGTCGTGCAGAGCGTACCTGTTTTTGTGATACGCGTACCATTTAACACTGCGTTTAAGGTTTTCGTATGCGATGAACTTTTTCAACGAAAAAAATGGGTGACACAAATTTGAAAATGTCGAGTCACTTTACCTATAAAACCGTAACCGTTGTCGTTTTTAGAATCTCAATCTTATACCTCTGAATACACTACATCTGAAATATCCTCATCTCGATTGGTTGAGCAACAGCTAGCGGTCTATGAAACGGACAAATTTTTTTTATGACCATCCCTTTCTCACAAATGTATTTCAAATTGAATGGATTGACGTGCATCTGAAAGAATTTTTATAGTTTTTTTTCCTGTCAGCAGCGAGCGACCTTTGACCACGGCCAGCATGTAAATGACCACTGTAACTATTTTAAAAATTAGCGCGAAAAAAGACATCGGTTTTCCCTAGAAGTTTGCAACGAATCTTAATGCCTTGTTTCTTAGGACAGGTCAGCGTTACAAAACATTAGCTTGAAGCGAGCGCTAACCTCTTGAATGGTCAATTTGTGCGTAAGACAACGTAACGCTCACTACCGAAACAATGGCAGACAACAGCAAAACCGATTGTTGAAATCGGCCAAGATTTTCAATCGAGGTAAAATTAATCTCTGAAATTTAAAAATGATCTAATTTGTATAATGTGAGATGAATCATACAAAGATCCCATGCTTTAAACAATCTGTGGTTACAGATTAAAAGGAATTTTTTCCCCCTCTTCAGCACTGGTTGACACATATAAAGTTATAGGAACGAGCCACAAAATCAAAATAGATATTTGTTTACGTCATTAAAGCATGCGCAATGTGAGATAATGTCTGAGTTGGAACGACTGCTCACGCTGTGCTTGCGAAACAGTATTTTGCTGGTGTCAGGGAACGTCAACTTTCAGCTGACGCCCACAGAAGGCCCTTGTCTTAAGAAAGCAATCCCTTCCATCCATTTCTTAAAAATTTATTTTTGTGATTCGCGGTTTTATTAAAAACATGTAATACTTTATTTACCACAGTTATCTTCATCACTTCCATCTGAACAGTCCCTCTGATGATTGCAAACATATCGTTCAGGAATGCATTTATGTTCATCGCATCTAAATTGAGTTTCCTCGTCGCACTCATAGGTTTCGCAGTTTTCTTCATCATTTCCTTTCTTGCAATCCTCCTTTCCGTCACATCTGTATTTTTGAGGAATACATTGCTTGTTGCCGCAAAAAAACCCTCCGCATTCGGATTGTGCTGATGAAAAAAATTACACTCAGAGTCAAAAATCATTCTACTTAGAGTTCATTATTTAATAAACTTTAAATAATTCCACCAACTGCATTCTTAGATGCTTAAACGTTACTGTTTTCAGCATTTTAAAGTATTTGTTTTTGGACTTTTAAAGATTTTTTTTTGCTTTATGGAGATGGTGTATAGCTGGGAAACTATCTGGGAAAAGAAACAATATAAACTTGAAACCGCGGGCGTGATAATTTTCTTTAACCCATCCAAAATTTGCACAGATACTAAATAGTTTCCTAAAATAATTTCTCAAAATAGTTAAAAAAAAATTTTTATTAGGCTTAGCACCGAAATTTTGAATATCTAATGCATTCTAAATATTGACTTAAGTAGAATTTGTATGTGTATGTATTTTCACATGTAGCCAAGATTTTTTTGTTTTAATACATTTTCATTTAAAATATGAATTAGTCTTTCATTATTGACTATGCTTCATGCTATTTTTTCAGGTAGGAAAAAACGATAGTGCACGTGCAGGCCGGTAACCAGAACCTCAAGGTTTATTTATAATCCCTCTAAATATATCTTTATTTTATTAGATTACGTAGAGCAGATTAATTTATAATTAATTCTAATCCAAATTGCAACATGGTTAAATCGATTAATACTGTTAACTAATCATGAGGCACGTGGCTGACCTGCATGAGCACGTCGGAGAATGGTAATTGATATTTAACGTAAGAAATGAAACGATTATTTTGCTTTGGTTAAATCACATCGAAAAAAATTGGTTTTCCGTAGCAGTATGCAACGAATCTTAAGGCCTGGTTTCTTAGGACAGGTCGACGTTAGAAAACGTTACCTTGATGCGAGTGTTAACCTCTTGATTATTCAATTTGCGCTTTAGACAGCATACGTCATCGAACGCTCAGCTTGAACGACAATAGCCGTTCGAATTAACTGCAGTTGATTTACAACGTAACGTTAACTACCGAAACAATGGCGGACAAACAGCCAACAGATAATTGAAATCGGCCAAGATTTTGATTTCGAGGAAAAATTAACCTCTGAAATTTAAAAAAAATGACCTAATTTGTATAATGTAAGATATAAATCATACAAAGATCCCGTGCTTTAAACAATCTGTGGTTACAGATTGAAACGTCATTTTTTTCGTTCTTAAGCACTGGTTGACACATATAAAGTTATAGGAATGAGTTACAAGATCAAAATAGATATTTGTTTACGTCATTAAAGCATGCGCAATGTGAGATAATGTCTGAGTAGGAACGACTGCTCACGCTGAGCTTGCAAAACAGTATTTTGTTGGGGGTCAGGGTACGTCAACTTTCTGCTGACGCCCACAGAAGGTCCTTGTCTTAAGAAACCAGTCCCTTCCATCCATTCTTCTTTATTATTTTTGTGATTCGCGGTTTTATTAAAAATATGTAATACTTTATTTACCACAGTTATCTTCATCACTTCCATCTGAACAGTCCCTCCGACGATTGCAAACATATCGTTCAGGAATGAATCTATTTTCATCGCATCTGAACTGAGTTTCCTCGTCGCCCTCACAGTTTTCTTCATCATTTCCGTTTCTGCAATCCTTCCTTCCGTCACACCTATACATTTGAGGAATACATTCTTTGTTGCCGCAATAAAACCCTCCGCATTCGGATTGCGCTGATTAAAAAAAAAAAAAAAAAAAAAAAAAAAAAAAAAAAAAAAAAAAAAAAAACACAGAGTCAAAAATCATTCTACTTCACTATATAATAAACTTAACTATATAATAAACTATATAATAAACTCACTTCACTATATAATAAACTTAAAATGTTTCCGCCAACTGCATTCTTAAATGTTTAAACATTACTGTTTTCAGCATTTTAAAGAATTTAGTTTCGGACTTTTTGCAGATTTTTTGTTTTTGTTTTATGGAAATGGTGTATAGCTGAGCTATACTATCTGGGATTAGAAACAACATAAACTTAAAACCCAGATAGCAAAATAAGTTTTTTTTCACTCAACAAAAACCTCTTAACCTAAAATTTGGCTGTGATTTGATGATTGATGTAGAGCAGTGTTTGCCAACTGGCGGCTCGCGAAGCCTTTTTAATGGCCCGCTAACTAAAATATATTAGTTATCTTTTTTCTGCCGACAATTTTCGTAAAAAAATCTATATGTGTTTAAAATGCTTTTCTTTCGTTTAAAAAACCCTAATTTCTTAGTTTCTGTGAAATCTAACATACCAACGGTGCAAAAAAATGTATTTCTCATGTCTTGCATCCAAGAAAATATTTATTCAAATTCAAAAATAATCATGTTTGTTGCTCTTTTTAATTTCGTTTTTTTCGTATTTTGTGAATATAATTTAGCACGTGCGTATAAGAAATTTTCTCTACGAAATTCTCTGATTTAACTTTTTGATACTACTCATTTTGGATGAAATTATTTACATTTGTAAATTTTAAAACTCATAAAAAAGGGAATGAATATCATGTTTTATTTAAAGCCTTGAATATCGCAAGAACGGAAAAGATGAAAAAAAAATTAATATGCTCGAGAATTTTTTGTTGTTGTTGTTTCTATGATTCCTAATAAGTCGGAAAAAAGTTAACTTATTACATAATTAAATTTAAAAGAAGAAAAAAAAATCTTGCGACTAAGTTTCTGATTAAGATAAGATTAAAAATGAATACTCAATCAGCATTATTTGAAATTCTTTTTATTTTGCTTTCTAATATTGAAAAAACTTTCATAAAAATTCGTCACTAGTATTTAATGTTCCTTTATACATTCAAGAGTCTTGTAAAATTTTGGTAAAGTTGCGGCCCGCCATTTGACTGGTGTTTTTAATTGCGGCTCCCAGCAACATGTAAGTTGCAAACCCCTGGTGCATAGGCTGATTGTTTTTAAGCAGGTTAATAATTTTTTTTAAATGTTCATTATTTAAATACATAATTATTATTAAATAATTTAATGATTAATAATTGCTCATTATTTAAGTGCTTAATAATTTAAACAGTTAAATAGTAATATAAATATTCGTCCGTTATCAAGACAAATTGTTGGATTGACTTAATTGTTGTTGTCCCAAATTGTTACCACAGCTTAAAATTAATACACTTAACTAAACTACCGTATATAACTATAGAAGGAACTCTGAACTAAATTAGTTAAGTGTCACATTTTCAGATGGCAGCAAGCGTTGACATTTTGGCAGATCAAAAATCCAAATTCATCGAAATAGTGCTTTTATTTTTAGAAGAATTGCGTTAGTATTTCATATTTTGACTTTCCGTCATAAAACTTTTGCACTGATTAATTAGCATATTTTAAGTATGATAATAAATAATTTCTAACGATAGTTATGCGAAGATATGATATCTAATCGTTAGATCATTCACAGAGAAAGACTGATGGTAGCGTATATGATAACGTGATTTGATAACACCTTTCAATAGTAATCATAACTTATTTGAATGCAAAGTATTTTTACTAATGACGAGAAAACTTCATGTATTTTAAAGTTGAAAAAAAAACTTGTACTAAACCGTAGAGTTTCAAATACTCAAGTCCCGCAGTGAACTATTAGTAAGCACAGCCAGTAGAACACTGAAGTTAAGCATCGCAGGATGCGGTCAGTAAGCGGGTGGGTGACCACTTTGATCAGACCTGCTCAGGGACCGAGGGTGCACGGTATCGGTCTTCGTTAAACTGTTCCACCTTTTATTAACCGTCGCTGCACAGCTGACCCAATTTTATGGGTTTACGACTACTAACGTTCAACTTCGCAGCCTTGTAATTTTGAATCTAATCCAGAAGACAAGGGAACTCCTGGATCAAGTATTGGGAGAAATTTGCCTTCGTGGAGGACTTTTTTTTTATGGAACTAACCCGCATTTACGTGACATAGAGAAGAAGACCACGAGAACCCCCATGGTTAGCTTGACGGCAAAGGAACTTTAACCCATGATCCGTGTATCACTGAGGATATTTTATGTCGGCACTGCGGTCGACGCAAGCCGGATGCGGAATTCGTATCGACTGGGATTCGAACCCAGTTCGCCTCATTGGAAGACGAACGCTCTATCACATGAGCCATCACGGCTCAAACTGTTCTATCGTAAAGTTCACGACTTCACGTGCATGATTGCGATGGCATGTCTTCTGATCATCCTTATGGATGTTTCCCTGACCGTCGTCAATACCCCATTGCACAGCTCTAGTGCGACGTAAATAAAGTATACTACCTATCTATCAAAAATGCAGATTTTTTTTAGACTATCTAAATACAAATAAACTATTGCAAAGATTACTCAAGATAACGCTGAACTCACTTGTTTCTGAACTTCAAAATACCAATTAGAGGTGAAACAGAATTCGTCATGAAAAGTTTCTCCCGTGGTATAGTTCCTCATAAAAAACGATTAAAAATATAACTTACAGCAAATTCTTTCATCAGACATTTCGAAGCAGTCATAACTACCGTCACAAACGTGCTCTTTTGGGATGCATTGTCCATACTTGCATTGGAACTCTCCATCCTCACAAGAATTGAGTCTGCAGCCATCTTCGTCTTCCCCTTCAGAACAATCCTCCATACTATCGCAGACCCAAAGCTGCGAAATGCAAGTACCATTGTTACATTTGAATCGTGGGGGTGAGCATTCTTCGGATGGAATGAAATCTGAAACAGAAAAAGGCTTCGCATAGTGTAAAGTATTTTTGGTAATTGTCAGCTTGTAAGTTTTAAGTTAGTCAATTGTAAGTTAGTTAGTTGTAAGTTAGTAAGTTGTCAATTTGTAAGTTAGACAGCATAAGTCATCGAGTGCTCAGCTTGAACGACGACTGACGTCCGAATCAACTGCAGTTGGATTACAACGCACAGTGGCCCAGCATCCAAGGTTTCGTGGCCAAAATTAGTATTTCGATAAAATTTGTTTCAAAATTTGGGGTACTTTATTTAGGGTTTTCGCGCGTAGGTAAATTGAATTCATAGTTGAAATTTTGAAATACACTAAAAATACCAACAAAAAAGATGGCGGCTGAAATATGGTGAGCTAAATAAAAAGAAATAGTACGTTTAAATAATAAATATAGCAATGAAAATATAATAATTTTCGTAATTTTATATTAAAAATGAAAAGCAAATTATATTTCCGAAGTAATATTTCGAAATAACGCGAAAACGTGAAAAAACATAATTTTTGTTTCTCTGTATATTTAGTTCACCTTTGCAATATGAGCAAAATGGGGCAGGTTTTTTCGAAAGAAGAAACATCAAAGAACACAACAAAAAATAGTTTAGCTGATTATCTCGTGAAAGTTTTTGGATTTAAGTTTTGAAAGTCATTCAAACGTTGTAAAATGTAGTAAGAGTATTAACTAATACAACAAATTGAAAAATTGTACTATAATTTCAGACTAATTACTCTGATAAAAATGTAACAGAAAGGTGAAATTCCTATATATATTTCTGAAATATAAATTTAAAAATTACATTAAAAAATTTTTTTTTAAACATATTTTTCACTACATTGTATTTTCGATGGTCCAAAAAGTAAATTATAATGTTTGGAATGATTATGAGTACTTAATTTTGGCTATATTATAACTGCCTGCACTTATTTTAGTTGAAAATTTAATTTTGACTTCTCGCCAAAGATCATGATCTACTGGCCCGCAGTGCTCAGTGAGGATTTTTAATGTTTCTCAGATTCCTTTCCTTAACCCTTTGACGCAGAATTTTTATAAAAAAATATTTTTCATTATCTCGTATTAATTTAGGTCAAAATAATTGTAAAATATTATATTTAGCATTTAATAATTTATAGTTATTAAATACAGAAGGAAACATCGTTGTATTTTTCCGAGTATTCTAACCTGTGTATTTTTCTGAGAATCTTCTAAACACAGCTCACTTCCAATAATTTTTCAAATTTGCACTTATTTTCTATGACTTGACTCTGAAGGAAATGGCTATTCAACATAGAAATTTCTTTGGTATTACAAAAAAATCACTTATTGATAAATGTTTGAATATGAATGGAAAAAGAAATTAATGCTTCTTTGTTTTTGTATTTTATATTTTAGTACAAATATAATTCCGAAAATCTAATGGATTTATTGACTGTTCTTTATAATTGAAAAATATCAAAATGTATTTTTGCTTGTCATCAGAGCGTCAGAAAAAAAATATATACGTATAAATGAAGGTTTCCGGTATTTGATCTGTGTCAAGAGTCTGCTCTCGCAAATCTAAAAGCCACTAATAACTATATGACTTTCGTTTCGTTGGCAGAAACTTTAGCGAAAACCTGTCGACATAATCCTTTACTAGATAAATAATGTCAGTACCCAGAGGACAAGTAACCTTACGGCATCCTTGTGTTGGAATTTTCATCTAAATGTCACGAAAATGATTGTATTAAAAACCTTTTTTCAAGAAAACAAAAATATTGCGGTTTCAAACTTTTCAGGATTAAAAATAATATTTTTTAAAGCTTTTTTTTAAAACTTAGGTCCATCATAACATATTAGCTGACATCACACTAGCGATAGGATGAAATTGCATTGTCCATTAAAATTTCATGGCGGGGTGGATTTTAGATGAGCATACAAGACTTTGCAAAACGAAACTTTATAATGACCTAGATTTAATATTATTTTCACCTTAAGACTAGTTTTATTAAAGGATGTTTTCACGCTAGAAAACATTAGGTCAACCTCGATTTAAGGTTTTTATATCGATTAATGTTTATACAAGGTTTTGGATTAGGGTAATGTTCCTAGAATAAAGCAGATGGTCTCAGATCTCGTTTTAAGTTTAGAAGGCTTACCAGTAAACCACATAACAATCCTTTTTAGGTTTACATTAAAAGGGTTTTGGTGAGTGAAAATAAACCTTATTTTGCTATCTGGGTCTGGGATTTTCGGGAGCGAAGTAATAGACAGATTCGGAACTTTCAAATATTTTAAAATGCAGATAAAGTTTTATTTACCGCAATTTGATTCGTCACTCTTATCTCTACAGTCATAATTTCCACCGCATGCTTGTGATTTCGGGATGCATTGCCCGCTTCTACATCGGAAGTCTGTTTCTAAGTCACATGCAAGGCAATCGCTTTCGTCACTGTCATCTGCACAGTCATATATTCCATCACATACGTAGAATGAATAGATGATGCATTGCCCGCTTCGACATCGAAAGTGGTGATCTGCGGCACAAACTCTGGAATGACAATCGCGTTCGTCACTGTTATCTTCGCAATCTTCCTCTCCGTCGCAAACATGCTCATACCTGATACAATTTCCATCGTCGCATTGAAATTGGAAAAACGAACAATCTGTATCAAAAAAATAAAAATAAATAAATTCTTCGAAATAAATATCGATTTCAGTTACTGAAAGGTAGGCTAATAATAGGTACAAGAATCAAAACTTTTGATTTTTTTTAAATAAAATTCTTATTTTTAATTATTTTTCATTTATTTTCGATGGAAATAAATCCGTTAGCTTGCTCCTCTTTCCTTATAGTTCGCTTTCTTTTTCCCCCTTTCATGAAATTGTACTAAGTTCATTTCGTGCAAGAGACATTTTTACTAATATCTAGTTTTTTTACATATAAAAAAATTACTTTAAAAAAATGACATTTTGACGTTATTTTTCCCGTTTTCAACTCTTCCTTAATTATTGATCAATTTTCCCGTTTTTATTGTTTATAGGAAATTTCATGTAGTATATTTTGTATAAACGTTCTTTTTTGTATCCAATGATTTCTGCAGTATTGTAGTGTATCTACCACTACAAATATACAATTCCAATTCATTAGTTTGTAAGAAATGTTAACTCGATTCTATGATGGGCTACCTAATTCTCATAGATGAAGTTTAACATTGTTGTTATCTACACTACCTCCACGTAAGTAACTTTCGGATCTGATGTGAACTCGCCTACCTTATCAAATATTCCCATTCGATCTGAACACGCCATTATTGACAGTAATGCCCACTTCGATCTGAACATGCCAGCTTCGATGGGTGGTCCACATTGAAAATTGACTTGTGTCTGTCACATTATCCAACTGCTCGGGTTGTTGTCACTCAGTCACACAACGTCGGCCTGCATACACTTGACTGCTAATGGCAACCGTGAACTTAATACAGATCT